AATACTTAGTGACTACTCCACCAAGCTTGCTCCCTACTCTTGCCATCCTTGCTCACTACTCATCCTCCAATCTTGGTCCCTACTCTTTGTTTGGTTATAAATAACCATTTGGCCCCAACATTTAACACACCCCGGTTTCTCTTCTTTCTATAGATACAACACTCTCTAGTTAGTATATTCTATATGTATGTGTGTGAGATACGAGTGTTCTTGAAATTCTTGAAATTCCGAAGACTTGCTAGTTGATTGTGGATTTAAAAATCCTTGTACAAGCACTTAGTAATCTCCTTGGTGGTAATAATATTATTGCTCTCTCTCTTTGGTGGACGTACACTATCACACTGATAGTGGAACCACGTTAAATTCTCGTGTTGTTATTTTGTGAACATGTCATTTACGTAGATAACTTAACTGTTTATTTTCGATAGAGTCATTGTGCAACATGTAGATAATTGTTATCCGCATTTGTTGTCGGGATTGTTGTCCCTGGATTTCTATTTTTGAAGGGACCTTAGTAATCACTTGCTAGCTTTGTTATTATGACACATCATATTCGACGATTTTATTTAGGGCAAATTGAATGAAAAAATAACGTCATTTAACTTGATTCCTATTTTGGGTAATGTACTTTCAAAACTTCCATTTTAGTACCTAAGATGTAAGTTTTAAACATTTAAGTACCCGGATAATCGGTTGAAAAAACTAACTTTAGATTAAAAAAGAAGACTACTTTTAGATAAAGAATTCATATCACTAACCCCGTCAACAAATAATATTGAGTTGAATATCATATCACTCGCCACATCAACATGATAACCGGTTAATGCTTCAACCAGTTACCCACGTACTTAAATGTTTAAAACTTTACATCTTAGGTACCAAAATGGAAGTTTTGAAAGTACGTTACCAAAAATATGAATCAAGTTAAGGTACGTTATTTTTTCATGCAATTTGCCTTGTTATTCATTCAATTATCTTAATCTATACTATATTATAAAGCATTTRACAAAAACTCTTAAAAATCATTTTTTATGTGTAAAGTACTGTTTATTAATGCATATTACTTAAAACTCAAGATTGCAAGTAGATTGTGCGTAAGTACAACTTATTAAAGCTCCATGCCTGAATTCGTGTAACTAACTGCGGATAAACATAATCAAATAGAGGATAAACATCTCATTTTAAAATATAAAAAAATTAAAATATAATTAGGATAATTGTTGAGTTCTAACAAAATAATTAATTATTAT